CCAGGGTGATCTCAAATTCCTGGCCTCAAGTAATCCTCCCACCTCAGCCTCTTAAAGTGCTGGGATTACAGGCGTGAGCCACTACTCCTAACCCTGTATCTACTTTTGTACTCAGGTCTCCAAAAGAGAATTCAAATGCTGAACTAGGGCTGGAAATTTCTAGACCGAAGTGTCCTGTGAAATACATTTGTTATATTGACAAAAAGGGCCCAGAAGGAGAGCATAGTGATTATAAATTAGTATCTTGTTAATCAATATCTTGTATTTCAACTTAGTTTCTTTTATGACTATCAACTATAAGTGGGAGAATTTAGTGGTCTAAAATTTGTATTTAGGATTTTGATTACCAGATTTACTCTTAGGATATAATAATAGTTTGTTTATATGAATCCTGATTTCCTTATACTTTGAAAAGTCTGTAATTTCTAGAATTTATAGAAGCAGACTTTATTATCAAATAATAAATTTTAATTTGTATCTAATTTACTTATTTGATTTATTTGCATATAAAGAAATAAAAATAAGTATTATAAAGAAATAATATTATGAAAGATTATTTGCCATGGTATTTTATTCTATTTTTAATGTTTTGCATATTTGTTAATATAGTGCTATATTGTAGCTTGAGATAAATCAACATTTTAATTCTTAAACTAAAAATAATTTGCATTTCTTTTTCCCTCTCTTCTTAAGTGGAATACTAGAGCGAAGAGAGAGAAACTAACAGAGTTAATGTTTGAACACTACAACATCCCTGCATTCTTCCTATGTAAAACTGCAGTTTTGACAGCGTATCCTTGAAAGAGTAATACTCATCTTTTCTCTAGAAGTGTATATAGTGCTGCTAAATATGGTACCTCTGGCAGAAGACATGAGCCAATTCTGCTTGTTCAGAAATTGTTTTTTCTCCTACTCTCTTGCTTTTTAGCTAGCTATCTTTTAGTATTTCTTATTGGAACTAATGATATACTAGAAGATATGAGAGGGAAAGAAAATAACATTCAAATCCTTATTAACAGGTTTTTTTCTTTGTTTTTTAAAGAAGGGGAATGTGGATAGAGGATAGTGTTTTAAACAGTTGGCTTAAATGAATTAAAAGATTACCATTTTTTCCCTCTCCTTCAATAGCATAGAAAATTGGAAATTAACTGTAAATTCATTTAAGATTTAATCACTAGATCTTTATTACAAGCACATTAAGGGACAAACAGGAAAATACTATGCCCTGAACTCAAAGAATTTATAATGTAACTACTCCTGTTAAAAGCTAAATGACATGTACTCACCATTAAATTGGTATTAACTGATCAACACAAAAGTGTACATGTAAGAATAACATCTATTGGATGTCAGACAGGGGGGAGGGGCGAGGAGGGAGGAGGGGACAGGTATTTGCATACACAAAGAGTGCAGTGTGCACCATCCAAGAGATGGACACTCTTGAAACTCGGACTTGGCGGGGAGAGGGGAGGCAAGGGCAATATACGTAACCTAAACATTTGTACCCCCATATTATGCTGAAATTTAAAAAAAAATTGTTAAATGATCCATCTGCAAATTGTTCTTTATACAAATAAAAAGGCAAGCCTTTGAAAAGTTAAAAAAAAAAAAGCTAAATGACAGATTTAAATAGTACTTCAAGACAACATTGGCAAAAGCCATACATGATTAATTTGACATTTTTTGCATAGTGATCACGGTAGTTCAGAGGAGGAATAGAGTAGTCTGACAAGCCTTTATAAAGAAAATAGAACTTAATTGCATGATGTAGGGGAAAGAGCTTTATATTTAGAGTTCAGTTTACACGGCTTACAAATATGTGATCTTGAATGAAGTACTTAAAACCTGAGCTTCACTTTTTACTCATTTATCCTGTATACTTTCCTGGCTTGCCGTAATATTCAGATGTTTTTATATATTTGAGGATCACTGTGGTAACTTACATAACATTTGTCTATAGTGCTATTTCTTGGAGATGAGTTTAGCAAAAGTGTGGAAGTGGAAAGTATAAATGTTTGTTACAACGACTTAGTTTAATAGTGGAAGATACATGTTAGACTTTGGTGGGAGTTGTAAAAATAAGTTTAGGTCAGTCAGTAGAGACCTTCCATGTTAAGAGTTTTAAAATGTGAAAATTAGACTCTAGAGAACCAGTGCAGGATTTTGAGTAGGAGAAGAAAAGAGAACTAACAGACTCACTGTATGTATTATCTCATTTAATTCTCATAGTAACCCTGTCAGGAAATGGAGTCATAAAGTAAGCCAGCTAGTCCTAGAGCACAATTTAGTGATGGCATTCCTGAATTTGAACATAGTTCTTTTTGGCTGCTTCTGTACAAGGAATGTGTCAACAGAATTGGGCATTATTTTATATTTTTTTAACTTTTTGCTACAGAAAACTTCAAACATAAGATAGAATGTTATGATGAACCCCCATGTGCCCACGACCCAGCTTTAACTATTTTCAACATACATAGCTGAGTTATATCAGCAATAACCCTACCCACTTTCCCCTTACACCGTAATTTTGAAGCAAGTCCCAGACGTTATGTAATTTTATCCATAGAAACTTTAGTGTGTATCTCGAAAAGATTTTACCATGTGTCTCTAAAAAAAAAATTAACCACAATTTCATTTCTTTTTGTTTGTATAACAGTTTAGTATATTTGAATAGTTTAGTATATATTGAATCAGGACCCAAACAAGGATCATACGTTTATTTGTTCAATTATGTCTCTTAGGTTTCTTAATATGTAGATCCCACCTCCCACTTCTTTTTCTTTGTAATTTATTTGTTAAGGGAATTAGATTGTTTGCCCTACATTCTGGATTGTGCTGACTGGTGTCCTTTTACTATGTTCCTCTGGCCCAGTGGTTCTCAAACTTTTTGGTTTTAGGACCCTTTTATACCCTAAGAGCTTTTATTTACGTGGGTCGTATCTGGCAGTATTTACCATGTTAGAAATAAAAACAAAAACCTTAATTTAATTTAAGCTTTAAATTAAATTAGAAATGAAAACTAAGACATTTTTAAAATATTTATTAATTCATTAGAAAATAACAAAAATAGACACATTAATCTTCCTCTAATTTGCCCAGACCAGTATTCTTTAACCCCACAAATTTAGTCAGTCATCAAAACTCATTCTTTCTTGCTATTTCTCAACTCCATTTGCTTCTCTCCATCCCACTGCCACTGCACTAGGTGGAAGCTATTTCCAGGATTACTGAAGCACTTCCTGTTGTCCATTTTTTATACTACAGCTCTAATAACCTTTCTAAATTGCTAGTCTGTTTTAAGACAGAATCATCTTCCACATTCCTTCCTTCATTCCGTTTTCAGACTATACTGAACTACTTGAGTTCCTTGACCTCCCTGTGTTCTCTTGCCTCTTGGCCTTCTCACATGTCCTGCTCTTGCCCATGTCCCCTTCCCCAGCTTACAATTGGATATCTCTCAGGGGTGAGAACCTGTAGCCTTGGGGCCACATGTGGCCTTCTGGATCCTTCATTGTGGCCTTTGACTGAATCCAGATTTTTCTTTGACAGAAAAAATCCTTTTAATAAAGGGATTTGTTTTGCAAAGTTTATATTTGGTTGAGGGGCTGCACCTGGGGTATCTGGAGGGCCACATGTGGCTGTGGTTTCTCCTTTGTACCCACACCCTCCCCAGGGCATCCTGAGCTTTTCTTTTTACAACTTTACTGATCTCTACTTCAATAAACAGGATATCTTTCAGGACAGAGACAGTTTTGATTCACCTTTATGTGTCTTCTGTGCTTCAGGAATGCTAATGCTAGGCTGGCAGCCTCCATCCTTCCACCCTTCTCTCCCTCCCACCCTGTGACATGTGATTAAACACCTGACTTAGTAGATACTTAATAGATGCTCAATAAATATTTAAAGAATGAGTGAATAGCCCTACTCCTAAACACTGGTTTGGAATGTGTTCACACAATGCAGCACAGAGCTGTGGAAAATGGGATCTAATGTTAATCAGCTGTCGAAGTCACCTGGTATAGCTTTTCAACCCCATTGAGTTTGAAGAGATGGAAGTGGCCAAACTGTTGAAACGGCTCTTTGGTGCTGTTTGAGAATGGTTGTAGGCCTTGGCTGAAATGTCACAGCCTCCCACTGTTCTTACCAAGTTTTTGTAAATTCTGTTTAAAAAATGTGTCTCAATTTGTTTAAGCTCTTTGATCAATCTCTAGAGACTTTCAATGATTATATTAATTTTGACCAACTTAATAGATGTCTCTCTGTCTAGGAGAAAGGTTTCCCCGAGTTCTTTACACCATTATCTGGAAGTCCCACCTCTTGTTACTTGTTTTTAAGACAGAATTATTATTTGATACCAATTTTCATTGGTTTACTTTAACATATTTTAAACTATAATGTATTATGCATGTTTAAAAAATGGTTTCTGAAACATAAGAATTTGCCCTTTATAATAAATATTATTTTAGGAGCCTTGATATTTTCTTATCCTTAATGCTTTAAACTAGATTTGCTAATGGTCGTTCTACTGGGCTGATTTTGGACAGTGGAGCCACTCATACCACTGCAATTCCAGTCCATGATGGATATGTCCTTCAACAAGGTAAATGTATTTAACCAGGATACACTGAAATGATTTTAGATGTTATGACACAAATAATGAAATAAAACAATTGCACTATCAAAGCATGTCAGTTTCCAAATGTCTTTTTTTAAGAACATTTTTAAAATCTTTAGCATATAATATATATTTAAAACTGATGCATGGCTTTATTTGCGCTTTGAAGGGCAGTTCAGTTAATTCTACCTGAAAAATTTATTCACATAAACACACCTATCAGAGAAGGTTTGTCCCAAGGAATTTGGACTTAAAGCTCTTTTAGCCTTATTTAATCTGTTTCATAGGCATTGTGAAATCCCCTCTTGCTGGAGACTTTATTACTATGCAATGTAGAGAACTCTTCCAAGAAATGAATATAGAATTGATTCCTCCATATATGATTGCATCAAAAGTAAGTAATTGAATTTTCTTTGTGGAACTTATCTCCAACTCCCTACCCTTGTGTAGGGGTTTTAGATTTGACCCTTCCAGTGTAAGAAGTCTGTTAACCTTGCACATGCTCTTGGTATCCTCAGGAAGCTGTTCGTGAAGGATCTCCAGCTAACTGGAAAAGAAAAGAGAAGTTGCCACAGGTCACCAGATCTTGGCACAATTACATGTGTAATGTAAGTAACCGTTATTCTCTTTATAAAAATGCTATAGGCTTTTTGCATGAGTGTTATAAAGTAAAATGTTATAGGCTGTAAGTCCTTGAATAGAATAGGGTACTTTATGTTTTCAAACTCTGTATTTTTAATGATATCTTATAAACAAGAATTTTCAGGGGGGGAAGGCCATGCTTTTCATATTTGCCAGACAAATATCTGTACAAACTACTACATATTTATTGAATTACTGTGGTGAGACCTGAAAGGAATTTTGGTTTTAGGGTAGAAACAAGCATTATGCTATATGGAGCATTTTTGGCTAAGAAAATGGTTTAGTTTTTGTAGAGACCTGCTAGTATGGCTGGGTTATGTTCTTTTTCCTCGCATCAGTCAGCCAATCAAAAATGTCTGTTACTGTTCATAGTGAGGAGTGGATGAGAGAGTCTCTTTACTAAAAATCCTTCTCTGAACATACGGCTTACTGAGAGGGAGAGGTTAGTAAAATAACTTTTCACATTACAGATACATGTTAATTTCTAACAATGAAAGTATATGAGAGTCATAACTTCCTATGAGAGGGATATATCTTGACAGTTTTGTACCTAAAGGTTCTTTTTGTGGGTGTTAGTGTGAGGAAAAATTATGAGGATGATTAATCATTTTGCCTAGATATTAGACAAGATATTTTCCTTAGCAATCCAGAGGTCATGTGTCTCTCACAGCCCATTTTTTAGTTGTTAATGTGCAGTCATTAAAGGTTCGATTAGATGTGATATATATATGCATGTGTGCATATTTAGGTAATGAAATCTTCTAAATCTAAGCTTATTTTTAAGGAAAAAATGGTATTCTGAAACTGCTTTTGTGATACAGTACTGTGGTATAGGGCTTCCCAGTTGCTTTTAATCTTTCTTCATTGTTCCATAACTGTTGTAATTTAGCTTCTAATGCAAATGTTTAGAATTGGGTTTCTTGATACTCAGAGTCCTTGCTGGGTATATTTATACTCCTGAAATGATTTACCCATCCAGAAAC